TTGTTGTCTGCTATGTACTGGGAATCACGATAGTTCAAGGGAGACATGGGTGGACCCCCAAAAGACAGAGTACTACAGTAGTGAAAATGCAGTCTTTGGTGAGAAAGAAAAAGCTATTAATCAAGTAATTAGACAAAGAAATTTAACATTGTACCTGAACAAATACTTTAAATGAAAATCAATCATTTAATGAGTTTGACCAGAGAAGAAAATAAGTGACATTTGTAAGGTGAATGGGAGTGAACTGGGCCAGAGTGGTGGAAAAAGATTCTAGGCAGAGGAAAGAGTACGTACACAGCACTTATGGGAGAAGGAGCTTCATGATTGCAAGGATGTTAAACAATACACATGTGGGTGGTGGTATTAGAGGCACAGAGATATTTATAAGTTAGGGGACTAGCAGCCAAAATGACACAGTCACCCAGAGAATGCACAGCCACAGCTGCAAGGAAAGAAGAAAACAGGAAGATGCTGCAGTTCAATTGCCACGAACATAAATGTTCTAGAATATGTTCTCTGTCCAGTGTGTTTATCATCTCTGAACCCATTTAAGAAGAGAGTAACAATTAATGATCCACAAAGAGATATGAACAAAAAATTTTCATATTGGTAATTGCTCATATTTATAGAATGCTGTTTATTAATTGCTTTTTCCCAAAGAAGTCAACATGATCTAAATCTCAGGTAGATAATACTTCTTGTCCTGCCTAGCTATTTTATCATTCTTAAGTGCTGCCCTTGGTCAGGTGTCATTCTGCCTTGTTTATCACATCATTGTCAGTGTCCAGAACAAAGCCCAAGACATAATAGATGCTCAATAAATATCTGTTAGACTAGTTAGTTTGTAAAATCAGTGAACTTTTCATAATTTTAAGGACATATTCTTTCATAGCACTCTGGAAGGCAAGCAGCATGTGAACATATCAACTACATCTATTCATGGTAGATCAGACATGGTGAACTTTCTCCACTCTTATTCAATTCAGTTGCTTCAGAATTCATTCATTTATTGATTGCCTTTAAAAAACATTTGAGACATAATATTTGTATGTATTTTTATGGGGTATATTATGATAATCAGTATACATCTACAATGTGAAATAAACAAATTAGAGTAATAAGCATTTCCTTCTCATCAAGCATTACATCATCGTTAGGTATTGGGAATTATAATACGCTTCCTTTCTAGATAGTTTGAAAAGTTTTAAGCAATTGTGTTAGTCAGCTTTGCATAGCTGTGACCAAAATGCTTGACAAGAACAACTTAGAGGAGGCAAAATTTATTTTGGATCAAGGTTCCAGAGATTTAGAACATGGTTGACTGTGTCCATTGCTCAGGGCCCAAAGTGAGGCAGCACATCATGGTGGAAGAGCTTGGTGGGGGAGTGCTGCTCCATTCACAGCAGCCAAGAAGGAGAGAGAGAGAGAGAGGAGAGAGAGAGAGAGAGAGAAAGAAAGGGGCCACAAGGGAGATGAATCCTTCTAAGGCACACCCACAGCAGCCCACCTTCTCCAGCCACATCCCGTGTGCCTACAGTTACTAACCAGTCACTCCATTTAAACTGGGCTGGACTCATCTCCAAACATTCCTGCATTAACATAGAGCTTTTGGGGGACACAACTCATATCCAAACTATAAAATCAATAATTTCCCTACTGTGCTAAAGGAAAAAAAAAAACAGAAGTAATTTCTCTACTCTTTACTGTGATTTTGATAACTCTCATTGAACTTGTCAGTAGCTTGATTCTACTCAGTGTCTACTAAATAAAATATTAATTGTAAGGATTGATTTATAGTTTATTTCTTACTTTACCATTCATTTATTTTAAAAATATACTTTGAAATATAATAAAAAGTTCATTTGATTAGTACACTATGTTTCTGTCTTTTCTTTCTCCATCTTCTCCTTTTCTTCTTGCGCTGGTATTAAATACAGGGCCTCCTCATGCTAAGTATGCACTCTATTACAGAGCAACACTGTTAGATCTGCATATGCTATATTTCATTGAGGTCAATTTTGAAAATCAAGTTTCTAAGAAATATGCACAGCATTAGAAAACATTTCACTTATTGGAAAATGCAAAAATTTAAAGATTTTTCTCACATTGGAAAGGATTCCTTTTTAAGAATTGGTACAAACCAACTGGTGTCATAAAAAATGACACTAATTGCAAAAATCTCTTCTTAGTGATCTGTAGCTAAGTCAACTTTGCCACAAATGGTCTGGAATCAGTGTTAAGGGAAAGGGAGTTGAAGGACTTGGGAGTGATGAGTGACTTAACACTAAAGTTCAATAGGAGACCAAGACAGAGAGCCACTGGTAGAGAGGTACTGAAAACACAGGGTCACAAAGGAGGAGTTAGGGTGGGTGATGGAGGGCCACAGATGCATGGAAGTACACAGTGCAGGGAAGTGAGACGCCTGTGGTGATTGACTTAGGGAGCACTTAGAATGCTCCAGGTTTTGTTCTGAATATATTTTATGCTACATATAATTTAATCCTTGTGACAATTCTTGGAGGTGAATAATTGTGCCTGTTTTATCTCTACTTCCACCTTTAAATACAACGTCCTTTAATCTTGTTTATTTTCCCCCTTAGATTTGTGTCTCTCTTGCTTTTGAGTTTCACCCAGAGACAGACTTCCTCTAATGACCACATCTTTCCATGTGAGTCCCTCTTCCAGAGGGTCTGGCAGAGGGCAAGGACTGGCAGGAATCATGTGGCTCAGTAAGAGCAGCCCATATGTGTACATCAGTGGTAAGTGGGATTTTTATGTTGTCCTTAATATATTAAGTTACTGGTTTCTGAAATTAGAAAATTATGAAACTTGGTGGGATAGACTTGGTCCATACGCCTTGGACTATAGACTTTTCATCTCTTTAAGGACCCTCTGGTTCTGCCTTTCTATGATGTCTATGAAATAAAAACAGCCAAACTTCTCTATAAACCTTTCATAAGCATTCTCAGTAGATTACTTTTGCATGTGGAAAGTACAACAGACAGCATCTAGGAATATTTTGGAAATCTTTTAACGAATCGAAGTGCTAAGACCTAAGAGGTTACTGGAGCAGCTCAAGACATACAGAATGTTGCTCCTTGCTTTGGTCTGATGCACCTTTTATTTTAGTGCAATGGAAAACCTGTTCATATCAGTGGAATTACATTCATAGCCAAAGGACATTCCTAAAAAGAATCACATCTACGCATGTTTCATTATCTCTTTAAACTTATGTCAGATGCTTCAAACCTATTTAATTGAGGAATACATTTCAGTGGCTATACAGTCTAATCAAAATACAGTCAATAAGTTGAGGGCTTGTTATTTAGAGTAATTTATATTTCATTATTTTGTTTAAAAAATTTTTATCATGAAACAAACAAAAACCAACATTTTAATTGCCCAGTCAGTTACCTAGGATGAAAGATGACAATAAATATCTATGATGACATCTTGTCAAATTGTCCTCTGCCTTCTTTGGAATGAGGAAAAACATGAGCCATCCTTAAGGCTGAGGGACAGGCAGGAGTTTGGAAACATCCTATTGTCAAAGGCTATGATGACAGTCTGAGTAGATTTCTGGAACCTGAAACTAGCTTGCTTCTTACTTCTGAAAAGCTTCACGCTAGAGACCATGATGTCATCATTAAGTCATTAACAGGATGAGGGGTATTTATGAAGTCATACCTGCAATAAAAAAAGGATTTAAAAATACGGAAATGGATGGATGGCAATTCCAGTCTCATGCTCATGAGCCAGGCTGATTTTACTAGCAAAGGCTCAATGACAATTTTATAGATGTGGAGACAATGGTCTAGTTCATTATGTGGCATTGGCTAATAAACATATCATGGAAAGAAGACATACAAGGCAACCCAGGCACTGTCGGACATTAATTTGAATCTGAATGTGTGCTCAATAGTACGGTATGGGTATGTTTGACTCTGTGCATAATAGTGTTACCATGGCCATCATGTTCAAGAATTGGAATGATGTGAGTGATATGGTTGGCTTTACCAACAAGTTTCTTCCAAATATCCCTGAGGAGATTTAAGCCAAACAAAATGTTAGAAGTTTCTCCTTTGTGGTCAGACTTACCTGGTTTAAGTCAGTAATTGAAAAGAAGTTCAGGAGGATGAGTCAGAATGCCATGTCATTGCTTTCTGAGCTGAAAGTGCACAGCGTGTATACTTTAATCTTCCTGGTTATGTACTGCAATAATTCATCCAGTTTAAGTGCACTTCAATTCAAAATTTCAATTACCCCATTCTTTTTCACTTCTCACCGTGAACAGTTTTAGATGGCAGTTAAGAGAGAGACAATGTTCAGGAGTCCAATATAGAAAAGTTTCTGGTTTCTGAAATTAGAAAATTTGAAACTTGGTGGGATAGACTTGGCTTGGCTTTATTTATGACAGGGGAGATTCTTGGAGGAAATAACGCAGCCTACATTTAGCCAATGCCTAGGACTTCAGAACTAGGATCTCCAAGGATGCGTTTCCCAAAGTAATTCATCTTTGGTTTCATTATTTTCCTGTAGTCCAGATTCCTTAATTTTACTTACTTAGATCCCTAAGTTACGGCAATTTTTTCCTATCACTGTCATGCCAGGAACTTTCTAAAACAAGAGACCCTGAAAAATGATGTGTCCAGATAAAGTCCTGTCTGAACCTCAATCAGATGTCCATAGGCATTTTATTCCAGTAAAGATGAATGCACAATCCTCCCTGGAGTCAACCCTGTAATAGGTGGGTGATAGGCAGCAGTGACAAATAATGCAAACTCTCCAGCTCTGGGCTGTTTTCTTGGGTCTAATTGCCCCCAGGGCAGGGACCTCGTTGGACTGCGAGGGCAGTGGGCTGGGCGGGGCCTGCGCGGCCAGCAAGCTGGGGAGTGAGTCTTTGTACAGTCAGGGCTTCTGCTGGGCAGGGCCAGCGCTAATCCAGCCGGGCGGACACCCGGGCGGGGGAGGGGGAGATGGGGCATATAGGTGGCGTCCGCTGGTGAGAAACACCTAGCACAGGTAAAAGGGTGGCGGCCCAAGGGAGTTCCCACCTGTTGAGTTCTTAAAGAAATGAAGACTTAAGAAAATAGCAAGGAGGGGCTGATCGGTGTCTTTGGAGCCCCACCCTCGGCCACAGGAAAAGCCCCTTGGGAGAGAGGCAGGCGCTTCAGAAAAACTAAGAAAAGCACCGCTTCGCCTCGCACTCCTGCGCGGGCCAAGCCTGCAGCCGCTTCACCCGGCAGAGCTCTCCTACCCCGGCCCTCGGGTGCCTTGGCCGGCGATCGGACGTATCCTCTCCATGGCGGCAGCTGGACCCACACGCTCCAGGATCGGAGCCCTCTGTCGGCAGCTCCTGCTGACCCTCTCAGTGAGTGCCGCCGAGGCCACCGACTCGGGGAGGGCGGTACGATCCCCTGGGAAGAAGGGAGAAACTTGGGGAGCTGGGGTTGGCCAGCGAAGCTGGAGTTAAGGGACCTAGTGGTGGTTGCTAAACATGGAGTAGGGGGTGGGGGGAGGGCAGACAGGAAGAGGAGCGCGACCCGGGCGCCCGGATCCCTAGGGGAGGGAAGGGCGTCTGGGGTAGATATAATCAGCGCGAGCAGATGGGGAGGGAGGCGTGAGCTGCGAACGCCCATCCAAAAGCGTAGCCTCTGGGTGCTCGCCGGGGAGCCGGGTGCGCCAAGGTTGCTTCTGCGCGCCTCTCCCAAGTCTGGGGAGTGCGCATCCCCTCCGCCTCAGTGCCGGCTTCAGGCCAGGGACAGGGCAGCCGCTGGGCGGACCCCACTGAAAGCGAGTGTCCTTGGGTGGAAGAGGGGACTCCTGGTCTTTGCGGGGGGGTGGGTATTGATCTTGGTGTGCGTTTAGATCTATGTGGGGGATCTTAGGGAAAAGGAGAGGTTCCACTCTGCTCCTGAAGACAGGCACCTAGGCGGACACTAGGTGACCCTTTGAATAGTTTCCATTGTTAGCATAGGAAGCTTCCGTCCCCCACATCATTGGGGGGAAAGGTCATCCTGGTACTGATCTCTGGTTCCCAGAGGCGTCTGGATCCCACCCACTTATCGTTCCCTTGCTCCAACTTTTTTTTCTTCCACACGTACAACAACGTCGACTTCACTCCTTCCCAGAGCTGGGAGCCAAAGCAGATGGCCTTATTTCGGACAGGGCAGTTCCTCCCTCTCAGGCAGAAAAGACCGGATTTCGCGGGAGAGTCTGAACTCGCAGAAATCCTAAGTGGGGAAGGAGCTCTTGAGGAAATTTGGAATCAAAGGTGCCCCAGACGGGGCTTTTCCTGGGTTTCCTGCCAGAAAACGAAAAAAGTTTAATTCGGCAAGGTGCGAAAAGGTGCTCAAAACTGCCCTTTCGTGTTGAGCCTTCAGCTTGGGCGCAAGTCAACTTTTAAAGACAGGAGGAGGACCTCAGAGAACAATGGAAGAGCGATTCCTTCTGGGAGTGGTAGAATTGAGGGGCAGAAATATTCGAGTAACCTCCTCTTCACTACGCTGATTTCACAAAGGATTTCTAAATTTTTAAATTGTAGGTTTTACTATTATTAGAACGTTTTTGGACTTTAAACCCCTAGCCAAAATCCCCAGGGCATTATTAATAATTTAGCACATAGCAGTTAACATTTTATAGTTGAAGAAACTAAAAATAAATAACGGTCACAAAATATATTGCTGATGACAAAGAGATGATTTTTGGTTTGGTTCTTAATTGTCATTTCCTTTTAAACCACTAGTCATTATTATTTAAAGGAAAAGGTATGCTTCAGGTACCACAGTAAATAGCGTTGCTTTGCAGATATCTGCACTCAAAGCTTTCTGTGTGTCATCTTAGATCCTTTATAGAAGAAAGCACAGTTTGAGGGAATGAACTGAAATTGAATCCACCCTCCCTTCCAAGATCTCCCTTAGTTTCAGAGTTTGACAGGCCAAGAGTGAGGCAAAGAGAAATCTGGCCCTGCCTGAACTCCTCATTGTACTTTCAAGTGTTTGTCCCTCAAGTTGTTGTTCCATGTTGTAGTGCATATCTGTTCAAAGTCCTGGCAGCCTCAGGTGGTTGGTGTGGTTGTGAGAAATGTGTGCAGACTAAGTGTGAGATATTAAGTAAGAATGACATTAAGGGGTGGGGCACCCTTTACATTGTGGCCTTCCCATGCAACTTAGTAATCCTTCACCATTCCGCAAATCAGCTTCTCCCCACTTCCTAATATTTATTCACCTCCTACATATCTTAACCACTTAAACTTTCTTATGCTTAAACACCTAATGAAGCCTCTCAGAGATCTCTCAGGCCACCAGGGATGTCCCTGACCCAAATAAGAGACACTTTCCATTCTTTGTACAATGCCACTTTGTAGATTACATATGTGTTCTTGAAATTCACCCCCACCTCCCTTTTCTGACCTTTCTGATCACTCAGAATCTGAAGCTGTTTTTTTTTCTCCACTAGTGTGTCTGTGTGTGTGTGTGTGTGTGTGTGTGTGTGTGTTTAAAGAGACATGACATGAGATCTACCCTCTTAGCAATGTTTTAAGTGTGCTGATGGTGCAGTTTTCAATATAAGCACAATCTTGTTCAGCAGATCTCTAGAAGTTTTTCATCTTATATAACAGAAACTTTATACCTAATAAGCAACTCCCTATTTTCTCCACACCACAGCACCTGGCAAACGCCCTCTTGTTTTCTGCTTCCATGAGTTTGACTGCTTTTTCCTCCAATCTTAAATGGTGATTTTTTTCTTCTGGCCTTATTTTAGGTCCTATTCCTTGAAATTGACACCCTTACCTAGACCATTTCATTCACTTGTGTTGCTTAAAATATCATAAGGATGATATTTAGGATATCAACAAATCCTAAATTGCTAGTTCAGATGTCATCACTGAACAATAGGCCTTTATGTCTACCTACTAGGTGTGATGCAGCATTCATTGTCTTCCCAGACAATGTTGCTTCTCTTTTAGTGTCCTATGTTTCAATGTATGGCACTCCTATATGCCTTTCTCCTCAAGTAGAAGACTGGAAGCTGTTTATTTTTTCTTCTTTACTGCTTTCCTCCCCTCTTGATAACTCTGCATTCAAAGGTATCTCATTGATCTGTTTACTTGTATTTATCACTTCTGCTGCAAGTTTTTACTATTACAAATAATGTCACAGTGAATAAGCCTGGTATGTTATTTTACTGTGGGAAGGTATAACAATAGAATACCAAAATGGAATTGGTAGGAAAAAAGTATAAATTACTCTATAATTGTGGCAGATACTATGTTCATACACAATAAAGTTGTGTATGACTAGATGAAAAGCTTTTTTATAATACATGGCATGTCACTAATATGTATGATGTTATTAAATAAGAACAACACTACCTGAACTCATTAGAAATTGGCTAAAAGATAAAGTAGAACTCATGCTTTATGCATAACACTATAGAAAACTAAATAGATGAAATTTTTAAATGTAAAATATGATAGCATGTGAGTTATATAAGCAAACACAATGAATTCTTATAAATTTGGAGTCAAGCTGGACATGATGGTGCATGTCTGTAATTCTGGCTATTTAGGAGGCTGTGTCAGGATAATCCACCTGGATCCCCTGCCAGAATCCAAGTTAAGAGCAGCCTTAACCACTTTTCGAGATCCTGCCTCAAAATGAAAATAAAAAGGGCTGCAAATGTAGCTCAGTGAGAGCATGCTCCAGGATCCAACCCCTAGTCCTGAAATAAATAAGTAAACAAACAGACAAACAAGTAGGCCCATTTATGACTTACTTCAAAAGCTGTTTTTAAAATTGGGAAAATCAGTTATATAAAACACACACATACACATAAACACAGTTTCCATAGCAAAAAATACAAACTAAACAAAGAAGAAACACCATAAACCTTTTTTTTTAAGTTAAAATGTAGTTGATAAATTGAACAAAGTATGTGCAAACCATATTTTAAAGGGCTAGTCTAGTATAAAGTGTTTGTATAAATTAAGAAGAAAAAATTAGCCAGATGCTATGTTGCACACCTGTAATCCCAGCAGTTTAGGAGACTGGAGGCATGAGGATCGTGAGTTCAAAGTCAGCATCAGCAAAAGGGAGGTACTAAGCAACTCAGTGAGACTCTGTCTCTAAATAAAATACAAAATAGGGCTGGGATGTGGCCGAGTGGTTGAGTGCCTCTGACTTCAATACCTGGTACTGCCCCCCACCACCAAAAAAAAAGAAGAAAAAATCAATGTGAACCAGGACATTAAATTTTTTTTTTTCAAATGACTGTATTCAGTCATATCAAATGCAAATAGGAATTGTTGTATCTTTTCCAATTCATGCCTCTAATATCTGCCTATTCTCCTACTGATAACTGCATTATTTTAATTATTGAGACTTTATAGAATCTCTTAATATATGTTTGAGCTAATGTTCTTTTGTGGCTCCTCTTTTTCATAATTTTTCTGTCTAATTTTAATCTTTCCTATGACATTTTGAATTAACTTCTTTAATTTCAGGAAATATTCTGTTGAGGCTTTGGGTTTTATTTGGATCATAAAATTTATGATTTAACTTAGTGAGAACTGATGTATTATGTTGTTGATTTTTCCAATCTGAGATAATGATACTTCTTTCTTTCTTTTTGTGCAATTCTACTTTTATGACCTGAAGAAATACTTTCAGGTGTTCTTCAAATGGGTTTTGCAAGTTTCTTGTTAATTTCCTTACTTGGCATTCTAACATTATTTTATTGCTTTTGAAAATGACTTATCATGTCATCTAACTGGTTTTATTTATGGGTACGAAGAGTAATGTTGTCTATATTTTAATAGTTATTTCTGCTGCCTTGACTGAATTCTGTTATTCTTTATGGTAATTTATTGGTTTATTTCCAGGTAAAGTGATAGTAAATGAAGACATTTCGTTTCCCCTCTTCCTTTGCAATTCATATGTTCTTGCGTAATATACCTTCAATGTAATGTGAACTATATATGATGAGCTTGGAAAGTCTGTTTTGCTTGTAAGTTTAGCGGAGTTGCTTCTGGTGCTATTCCCATTGGTTATAATATATAAAAATCACATTGCAGAAGCACTCATTGATTCCTAGATTTTGAGGCTTTTTAAAAGATAAGAATGATATTGAATTTGGTCAAGTACCTTTAGGTCACTAGGTGGTAACCACATGCCAGGCCCAGTTCATGGCTCCAGGATTCTAGACCAAGCAAGTGCTGTGAATGTGGATCAGAAATCCACACAAGGTCTAATTTTCTTTCAGCTCAGCTTTAGAATGAAGGGTTAGCATTTGGGAAGCCCAGACTACTGTGGCAACGGTCTTTTGATTGTTGGTGATTTCTCTGCTTTGATTTCATTCCTTCTCTGTAGAAGTCAGCAAATTAGAATAGAATCTTTGCAGATTGGAATTTGTTTCTGGGTTCCTCTTATTGATCTGTGTTCTAGCTTTATCTTCAGTTTTTGCCTAGCGATTCCTTATTATTTTTGTTAGCTTTTGGATAGTTTAGGATATTTTAAAAATATGTTATCCAGCATTTCTGGTTAGTTTTGTTTTGGAGTTTTACCTCACCTGCCTGCATTAGAAATGAAAGTTGTTCCCTTCATCCATTTTGAACTTTGCTCAGACTTATATTCAAATATAAAGATGCAAATGCAATTTATTTGCTTGAAGCAAATCTTTGGTTTCTTCTCATTATTATTTTATTTTATTTTTATTTTTTGGTATTGGGGATTTAACTCAGGTTCACTTTACCACTGAACTACATCCTCAGTCTTTTTTTTTTTAAGACAGGGTCTCACTAAGTGGCTGAGGGCCTCACTAAATTACTGAGGCTGGCGTTGAACTTGGAATTCTCATGTCTCAGCCTTCTAAGCTGCTGCAATTACAGACATGTGCCACTGATTTCTTATTATCTTTAGAGAGAAAAATTCATATATTTTGTTGACATCATTTAGAAACTATTCCTCACCTAAATCCTGAATTCATTTTAAACCTCTTCCTCTTTGTATTATACATATCAGCCATTCTAGGTTTCTTTCTCAGGTCTGTGTCATCTTTGGGACTTTATATTATGTTGTTTCTGTATTTTGAATTTAAGCTCTGCTCTTGCCGTGGCTAACTTATAGCCACTTTTCAGGTAATTTAATCTGGCTCTCGGCCCAGGTTATACCTAACCCTCTCACTTTTCCACAGTGTCTTGTACCTCCCTGACATGGTATTCTCTACTTTATTGAAATTACAAATATGTCTTACCTTGAGATTGAACAATTCATGTGGATCATGAATATAAATATTTGCTGAGCATATGAATGAATGGATGTCCAGGATGCCACTACACCCTCCTCCCCAAATTATCTTAATCCAGCCATTTTTTCACTTTCTCCACCATGATTGCCTTCATCCACTTCACCATTGTCCATCTTAGAGTCCTGTCATGTCCTCCTAATTGGCCTGTTGGCTTCCACTTTCTCCTTATTCATGATCTGTTCTCCACAAACTTAGCAGATGTATTTACCACTCCCCATGCTCTAAACCTGCTGTGGCTTCTTTTTGCATTAAAACAAAAACCTGTTTCTTACACTGGCCTTTTAGACTCTACATGATATGCCCTGACTGACCATTTGTTTTATCTCCTCATTCTTCCCCATCCTTTTCTTCGCTCTGCAGGATTACCATGGGTTCTGGGGAAGTCCTCTTCTAGGGCCTTTGTTCTTACTCCCACCTGGAAGACTTCCCCAAATTAGGAACTGATTTGTTTCCTCACTTCATTTAGGTTTCTGGTCTTCTCTTTGTCATCTTCTTTCTCTGATCTATTTTCCTCATAACCTTTATCTTTCTTTGCCTTGGGATTATGTGAGATTTGTATATTTATTTTTTTGCCTCTTATTACAATGTAATCTTTACGAGGAAAAGAACTTTGCTTTGTTCATTACCTATAGCCTTTGGCTCTGTTGAACACCTAGTTACCAACCAATAAATGTTGGCTGAACGAATAAGGATGTATTCTGTCAATCACCTTGAACTAGAATCCTTGGAATCATCTGATCCTGCTCCTACTAGCTCTCAACTTGCTGCCAGTGGAAATTCTTCTCATCTTTTAATTTTCAATTCAAATACAACCTCTTCATTGTGTCCATCTTTAACTTCCAAGTAAAACACAATCTCTTATCTGATCCTTTATATGTTATGTAAATTGCATGATTACAGGTTCCTTAGTATGCATTGCAAATAAAAAATTTCCTTCTAAACTTAGATGGTAATAGCTCATATTTATGAATTTTGTAAATAACACAGTGTAAATGTCTGTTAGCTGTGTTTTGTTTTGGTTTTGGTCAAATGCCTTTGAAAACTGAGGAAAAAAGAATGTAAACATTTCAGAAGCAGCCATTGTCAAGTTTCAGAGAGAACAGAATTAAATTTCTACATATTCAAATATATGTTGGGATGGGTTCATCATAAATCATTAAAAAATTATTAAGTAAAACTATTTTCTGAAATAACCTTAAATTAACTTTGACTTATGAGAAAATGCATCTTCACAGTAAGTTCCCATATCGAAAAGTTGCATTGTTTGTGTGAAGTAGTTATACATAAATACTCACCAGATCACTCCATGGCGTTTTCTTTAAAAGCACCATTTGGAGATAATGGGTTTGGTATCATAGCTCATAGTCGATTAAAAATTTACTGCAACAATTTGCTGGCTCATTAAATTCATTTTTACTCTTCATTCCTATTTATATCCCTGTGCTGTCTTTAGAACTGTCTTTAGTTTTAAGTACTCTCCACATAGGTTGTTGAATCCTTACTAAACCCACTAAGTTATTCAGTGCTGTTACAAGTAAATAAATTTTATAGAATAGGAAACAAAGCTTAAGAATGTACATAATTCTCTTGAGTTTATGTGCTTTGTGAAGGAGGGAGATAAGACTTTCATGTTTCATTCACCCCTTTGATAGCATTTTCTTCTGATTTCTTACTCTAGCATGTTTTTAATTTTATTTTACTAATTATATAAACTGATTCAAAATTATATAAATTTTATGCAACAATACATATATTTACATATCTAATATTTTATCTATGTAATTAAGTGTATATTACTTAAAATATAAATAAAATTTATATAAACAATGTACTCATTAAAAGGATCTTTTTAAGGCATAGTCTGGATTTGTTTTTTTAATAGATCTTATCATTTGCCTGTGACGCCTGCAAACAGGTGATACTGCATGTTCCTTCCAAATTAGATGCTGAAAAATTTGTTGGCAGAGGTAAGATACTACTAAAAGTATGTAATTACCCTAATTTGTGTGATCTGTTAAAAGCTAGTGTAATTTTTAAAACTATAACTGTATTAGGGAATAGTTAAAACTAACAGTCCTTTATCATTTTTAATCCTTGTATCATGTCAGTGACAGAATATTAGTCTTTGTTTTAAAAATGTGCAATTATTTGAAGATAAAAAAGTTTTAGCTTGAGTAATAAAATAATTTTAATATTAGTTGAAAGATATGGTATAGGCTAAATATGCTTCTAAGAAATTGAGAAATATATTGAAACTATTTCTTGAATTTAAAGATATTGTTTTTGGATTTTCATCATGAAATATTTTGACATCTTATTATATTTTATTTCCATGTACTGTTTTTTATTGCTTAAGCTTTTTACATAACTCACTTATATAAGGAAAGATCAAACTAGTGGGAACACAGGATTTGATGAGTATTTCACAATAGATGTTATGAGTTCTGTGATATTTTAATTTAAGAACCACTGCTTCTAATCAATTAGATTGTGTTAGACATACTTCAGGTACTCTTATGTATTCCTCTACAGCTAATTTCAGTTAATAAAAACATTTTTCATTGTTGGCTTAAACATTCAAACATTGTTTCAGGACAGACATTTTAAAATAAGAATGTAAAGTAAACCAGGTGCAGTGGCACTCACCTGTAATCTCAGCGGCTCTGGAGGTTGAGGCGGGAGAATCACAAGTTCAAAGCCAGCCTCAGCAACTTAGAGAGGCCCTATGCAACTCAGTGAGACCCTGTCTGTAAATAAAATATACAAAGGGCTGGGGATGTGGCTCATTGGTTAAGCATCCCTGGGTTCAATCCCTAGTACCAATAAATAAATAAATAAAATTAAATAAGCATTAGAAGTGATGTTTGTGTTTATAGACAGTGTAGCCCACATAGTTTCATATATCCTTTTTTGGGGGGCAGGTACCAATGATTGAACTCAGTGGCACTGGGCCACTCAGTCACATCCCCAGCCCTATTTGTATTTTATTTAGAGACGGTGTCTCACTGAGTTGCTTATTCTGAGGCTGGCTTTGAACTTGCAATCTTCCTGTCTCAGCCTCGTGAGCCACTGGGATTAACAGGTGTATGCCATGGCACCCAGCCTCATATGTCCTTTTAAAAATGCTAAATATACTAGTGGGAGTGTAATTTAAGTGGCTTCCTACACAAGCATGCATTACTGTTAAAACTATGTATCATTGTGTTTCACCTTAAAAGTGATTGCTATGTTTATTTTATACAGTTAACCTGGAGGAGTGCTTTAAATCTGCAAATATCATTCACTCAAGTGATCCTGATTTCCAAATTTTAGAAGATGGTTCAGTCTATACAACGAATGCTGTTCTCCTGTCCTCAGAAACAAGGAGTTTTACCATATTACTTTTTAACACGGACAGCCAAGAGGAGAAGGAAATATCTGTCCTTTTAGAGAAAGAAACACAGGTATATGAATATAATATGAACAAAGTATAATGATGTCTCGTCTTTAGGTTTTATAATATTGACAGGGTAGAAGTGGAATCAGAAAAGATATGGAATAGATTGGTTTGAATAATGAAAACAATGAAACAACAGTGTGTAAGTGAAAAAGGGCTGTATAAGGTAGTTTGTTAAAGGTTGTATTCCTTCTCATTTAGGACATGAAAGGAGAAATTGGGATAAGCTACAGCATGAGAATTTGAGATTAGACACAAAGAAACATTTGCTGGTCTTTACTATAGCATGGATTTCCAAAAGCAAAATTTGAAACTCTGTCTCTAGTAAAGAAAAATGTTTCTTTTTTTCTCATGCATCTTAGCATAACTTGTAGTCTTAAATAGATGGCTGTTTTAGGAGGATGGACCACATGCATGCTTATTATCTTGTGACACCAAAAATCAAGGTGTCTTCAATTCAGCATCGATCGTTCCTTACTGCAGTAATTGAGAGGTGTCACCATATTTCTCTCCTCATTCTGACACAGATCTCTTTGTTGGTCCCCTGGCTCTGCTTAGTTGCTGGTGAGTGGAAGATGCTTATGCTAAATTTGGAAGGGCACATACTCACTTATTTTCTTTGCATATGCCTCCTCCTGTGTTTTGGCATGGCAATGTGACAACAGTCATTTTCTTTTTAGTTTTGCTTCTAGGTTTCCAACTTCATCTCTCTTTCTTCCACATTTCCACCAAGTTATTCTCTCAAAAAGGATTATTGTCATCACAGCTATGCAGCTATTTGTTTTTTTTTTCCATTCTCTTTATGCAATGTTGATATTCCTTTTGGTTTTCAAGCACTATTGTCTTATACCTCCCCAGCTAATCCTCATGAGAGAAGATGTGTCTGACTTCTAATGTTTGAGAATAAAGTGGTCATTGACTTTATTTGTTGATGTATTTCTATCTTCTAAATTGAGGTTCAAAAGAGAAGACATTCTAAAGAAAAAGTTCTAAGACGTGCCAAGAGAAGATGGGCTCCTATTCCTTGTTCCATGATGGAGAATTCCTTGGGTCCTTTCCCACTTTTTCTTCAACAGGTACAGTATATTTTCCTTCTGCTGTAAAATCCATTGTTTCCATCTTAACATCAAAATTTGACATTGATCATGCAGTTACTTAGAAATAATTGTGTCAGGGTATAGGATGTACCTCTGTGGCAGAGCACGTGCCTAGAATACACAGGACCCTGGGTTCAGTTCCCAGCTATGCAGAAGAAAAAAAAAGCCATAGAAAAGTGATATCATATGAATATTTGATTGCATGGGGATATGTATACATGTTCAGCATATGGATACAAATATATTTCTTTATAGCTTTATACACTTTTTGTAGCTTGAGTTATACAGAGGCTAGCTATCGAACTATAAAACCCATCTAGCACTTTCGAACACCTTTCTTTAATGATTTATTTTTTTTAATCAACAGAGGAATCACAGACCTTGGGCACAGCCTAGAAATATTCCCAGGTGTCTTCCATAATAAAGGATGAAATTGCAATTGCCACGAAAGAGGAAGACACATCTGCCTTTCCATTATCAAGTCCATTTCTTAAATCCCACCAAATGCACATTTTCTCTTTTCCTTTTTAACATTTAGTGGACACCCCAGTCAATCTTCTTCCCTTCTTCCACTATTAGTGGCCACTATCACTCAATCTATGACTTGGGTTTCTTTTCCTTTAATTTCTTAAATGGTGAGGGAGATTCTTCCTTTATACCCCACCAACAAACTGAATGCAGCTCAGAGGAGAACAAATTAAAGTTGAGAAAAATTTGTTAGGAAATAATTGTGTTAGTCATCCTGAGATAATGACAGTCAAGATCTCAAAGAGAAAATGAAAACAGCTTGGAAGAAATTTTTTATGAATCAAGGACCAAATATTACCCTTACCTGTATATTATTCCATTTTTATTCTCCTTCACATATTTTTTTCACTTAGCTCTTATAATAAGGAAGATAATAACAAATACTAAAACTCAGCAAGGAAATAGTATACTTTAAACCCACTTTCTTAATTATTTTGTCACTTATAATAAAAATTTATTTTTCTTTTTAAAATAGCCAAGTAATTTTTCATGCTCAGAATATTTTGTTTTCTAATACAGGAAAAACTTTTAAATATTGATTCACATACATACCATTTAGCCTTAATATATTTATTAGTTATTCTTGGAAACCAAGATTCTACTACATCATTCTGCTCTTGCCTTTTTCTTAAAATTTCTCAATCATGAGGCTTTTAGATGTATAATCATAAATTAAAGAGGGTAATATTTATTGTGATAAAATTGAGAATGTGATTGTACAAATATACAGGTAAAAGTTGTGCTGAAATAAAAACTTGTGTCATAATTATATCTACTCTCTAGGTCCAATCTGACGTAGCCCAAAACTACACCATATACTATTCCATTAAAGGGCCTGGAGTTGACCAAGAACCTCTAAATTTATTTTATGTGGAGAGGGATACTGGAAACCTGTACTGTACTCAACGGGTAGATCGTGAGCAATATGAATCTTTTGAGGTAAAACTTAAAGTTTGTGTGTTATATTAATGGTTACTAAGCTTGGCCATTGTTTCTCACATCTCTAATTCATTTACCCTTTTCTATTTTGTGAATTTGTCATTAATACTCTGGCTTTATCTGATAGCACAGCATTGACTTGAAACATAAGAATTTTCATAACAATCCTATAAGATTGTTCCCGGGATTATGGTTTTACTCTTTGTTTTTGATTTTTGTTGTTTTTCTTTCAAAAGAAAAAAAATAAGTATCATTTTGAGAACAGGTCTTGAGTTGGTAGAAAAGATTCGTGAACCTCTTTATAGTACAGAGGTAACATGGGAGGTAAATGAGGCTCAGAAGTGACATATACCTGAGAACCTTTGCAATAGGAGAAAGTTAACCCATGGGATCAAGTAAGGAGTGTGGCCAGTGCTTAATGTGCTTCATTCAGGCTTCTCCAGTCTCTGCATCTCTTTCCTGTGGTGCAATGTGAGTTCACGTGTGAGAACTTGACCTCATGCTTGTTTTATTTCCCAACAGGACCTGGTCCTCTTGCTTAACTCAGTTTTTTATTATTTTACATCTATTTTAGATGAATTAATATTCATCAGAAAATCAAATTAACCTACCAGACAGATAAATTTTGGATTAAGTGTTTAGGTTTAAGATTTCTATGATATGACTTTCTAAGTATTTGTGATGCTCTATGTCTATGATATCTATTATGAAAAAAATTAGAATTGAAATTCATATTATGGAATCACAAGAATGGAATATGTTCCATACATAATTTATAGCCATCCATGTGTTCTGTTTCTGAATCTTGCTTTTTAAATTAAAAAATGATTAGGAAAATACTAATCTAAGTATAAACATTGATATGCATAGGGTTTTAATTAGTAGAAAATAAGATAATATATAGTTAAATCCACCTGGAGAATTTATAGTCCTGAAGATCTAAGTTAAGAAAGACCCAGAAAGTTGTATTAAAATCCTTGCACCCAAAACTTTCAAACAAAACAAAATCCTCAAGCCTTTTTTGAAAATAATAACAAGAAAGTTATACTTATGAACAAATATAGCAATGGTGAGGAAATTAAAATGATCTATGTTACTATATTAGATAAATTTAAGCATCAAGTGCTCAACTTCACCCAGGAATTAGCAACCTCTTTTGGCCTTAAAGTTATGTCCACATTCAAAATCAGTAACAAATGGTGAGACAAACATTGCAGTTCTGAACAATCTCCAAATTAAAGTCCAAGCAAGTTGAAGCCATACTTTATTTTAGAGAATAATTTGGGGAACTGAGGCTCAGTGGTAAAGCATGCATTTAGCATATGCAATGCCCTGGGTTTGATCTCCAGCACCATACACACAAAATGTATTATTTTCACTCAATTCACAGCTAACTGCCTTTGCAACAACTCCAGATGGTTATACACCAGAATATCCATTGCCTCTGATAATCAAAGTAGAGGATGAAAATGATAATGCCCCGATTTTTACAGAAACAACATACACTTTTATGATTCTTGAAAGCTGCAAAGTTGGTGAGTATCCACTTTGATGATAGAAGACAATTTTAATGCATTTCAGCTCATGAACTGAGTTTCACTATGGGCACTAGAAAGCAGCATATAGTGGTGGTTGGAACACTGAGTGGGATTTTACTTTACCTTTCATTAGTTGTCCTTGCTCAAGCTTCCTAGTTTTGACAAGCCTTAATTTCCTCATCTGTAAAATGGGGTTTCAGTATGCCAGATTACTGTGAAGATTAAATGAAGCATAACATAAATGGAATGGAAATCACAGTGCCTCAGAAACAGGAGTTAATAAAAGGTTTTTTGCCTTTTTTTTATAGTAGGGCAAATAAATGCTTGTAAGAGAGCATACTCCAAAAAATGAGTCATTGAGCAATTGGACATAGTCCTAAAGGTGTCTACTGGTGTTCTATAATGGTTAAGTGAGTGATGATATTCTGCGGGTGGTTATGAAAGTCATTGAGAATAATACAAATGTTTTCTCAATCTTGCAAAAACAGTCCATTTTATCTGGAAATCAGAATGAGTCTTTCTTTAGAAAGACACAACTGCACCATCAATTTTCAAAGAAAACTGGCTCATGTGGTTGAATATAGGCTTGCAAATAAAAAAAAGGCTAGGGCATAATTAGAATATTTTAGTTTAGAAATGCAAAGATCGTAAGGTGTTATATCAACACTTATGAATTCAAACGTGAAGTACAATTAAATAGATTTAATTACCAAACTCTACAATGTAGCAATGCTTTTTTTTTTTAATTTGTTCTAATTAGTTACACATGACAGTAGAGTGCATTTATATACATACATAAATAGAGTATAACTTCTCATTCTTCTGGTTGTACATGTTGTAGAATCACACTGACCATGCAATCATATATGTACATAGGGTAATAATGTCCAATTCATTCTACAATCTTTTCTACTTCCATACCCCCTCCCCTCCCTTCATTCCCATCTGCCTAATCCAAAGTACCTTTATTTTTCCCTAGCCACCCCCTCTTATTGTGATTTAGCATTTGCATATCAGAGAAAACAAATTTTTTTTGAGTTATATGAAGAGTGAAGTCAGTAAGAATTTGATTATATGAAAGCTTTGACAATTAAATAGGTTGTTTTATTCACAATTAGGTTCCATCGTGGGACAGGTGTCTGCAACTGACAAAGATGAGCCCGACACGATGCACACACGCCTGAGGTACTCCATCCTGGAACAGCTCCCGTCCTCACCCACACTCTTCTCTATGCATCCAACTACAGGTGTGATCACCACATTGTCATCTCAGCTTGACAGAGAGGTAACAGAATTATTAACAAGTACTACTTGACTGTAATTCATAGTACAGTTTAATTTTCCCTAATCTGAAGATCTGACATCTGAAGTATTCACACTGTTTTGAGAAATGAAAAGAGATCACGAGTGGAAAATTCTATACCTGATCTCATGGGATAGATCACCATCAAAACAGAGGCATAGTAATATGTGCAGAGTAAACAGGTTATAGTGGCACCCAACCTGCAATCCCAGAGATTTGGGAGGCTGTGGCAGGAGGCTTTCAAATTTTGAGGTCAGGCTCAGCAACTTATGAGACTTTGTCTAAAAATAAAATAATAAAAAAAGGATTGGAGATGTAGCTCTGTGGTAGATGCCCCTAGGGTCAGTCAATCCCCAGTGCCCTCAAACATACAAACTCAACAACAACAACAACAACCAAAAAAAAAAAACAACCCACAGGCACAAGCTATGTATAAATGAAATACAAATGAATTTTGGGTTAATGTGGGTCCTATCACCAATTTGTCAAATCATGTGTATGCAGATATTCCAAAAATCTAAAAAAATCTGAAAAACAAAACACTTTTCATCCCAACTATTTCAGAAAAGGACATTCTACCTGTATCTGGTTATCTCTGTATACCATCTCTAAGTGTGTGGTTTTTTTTTAAAGATATATTCTCTTTTTTTATACATTTTATTTTTTCTATTTATTTTTTAGTGGTGCTGAGGATCGAACCCAGTGCCTCACATGTGTGAGGCGAATACTCTACCACTGAGCCACAACCCCAGTCCTAAATGTGTTTTTTAAAAGCATGATGTGAAAAAAATTAGAAAAAATATTATTATTATTATTATTATTATTATTATTGAAGCCAGGGCCTCATGCAGCCAGGAAAGTGCTCTACCATTGATCTATCCCTCCATTTTTAGGAAAATTGTTATTTAAAGTAAGTTTAAATCTTCCAGAGTGCTAATTTTTAATCTTAATTTTTAATCCTATGAATTTAATGTTTCATGAACCAAAATTTCAAATAAAAAAATACTTACAGCATTAAACATAATAGGGAGTGTCAAATATGAAAAGTGAACCGTTTGGTAACATGCAGAAATTTGTTATCTATGAGAGAGATGTTCCTCTTATCTCATGCCCTCTTCAGGGGTCTAATCAATGTTCTTCTTCTTACATAGATGGAAAAAAAAAACTTCATCTCTCTAACTTTAGGTTGCCATGTCCAATTGACTGCTAGAAATCCTTATTTTGATGTTTCACAGGTTCTTTGATGTATCTAAAATTTAACTCATCTTCTAAACATCCTCGCTTTCCCATATTTTTTAGTTAAAATAATATTAATGAATCACCTATTCATAATTTTCTGTTGTTACCTGGGAGTCATATTTTCAAAGTTCTATTTGATTTCTACTTGTACCCTCTCAATCAAATCACTTTCCAAAGTATGTTGACTATTTTACTTTCAAATTGTCTGTTTCCACTGTAACTACCCTATTTTAATTATACATTTACTTATTCAACTATTACTTCTCCACCACATTATGCTTCTGAATTTTTATAGTAATTTGTCTTGTGTGCTAATTTATATTCCTTAATCTCAAAACATAGTAATATGTGATTATCTGGTATTTTTTTGATTCTTGAAACTTCCTATAGATTCATTTCCTCTCCATTTCCTTATCCCCTTGTGAATGAGAGCAGTAATCTTCAAAATTTTTGGTCTATGGCCCCTTTACATTCTTAAGTATTGTTGAAGATGCTGAAGACGTTTTATTTATGTGGGTTGTATTTATTGCTTTTTAATCCATTAATATTAAAAGCCAAGGATAGTTTAAAATATGTGTTAACTTACTTAAAATAACAACAAAAATACTACATATTAACACAGATAAAATTTGTATAAAAATAAGTAAATTTTCCAAAACAATAAATATCTTGACTATTTGGCTTAATATAAGACAGGTGGATTCTCAATCACCTTTCTGTCATAATAAATAGGTAGTTGTAGCAAAAGTGTACAAAGAACATTTGACATTATATGAAGTGAGAAAAGAGGAGCATTTCAATAGTAGTTGAAGATAATTGTGTCTGTTCTGTAGTATTAAATCAAAACTTAATAAATGGTTGTTACCTAAACATTTTTGGCAATGCAGACTTTGAAGTCTCATCAATGAACTTTTTTACTTTGTTCCAGTAAAGTCCATTAATCGGTCTGGTACTATGAGTGGATACTTCACTATCATATAATATTTACTATCATTGGTCATTTGGAAAACATTGGTTCAGAATTATATAGATATTCCAAATGTTCATGTATTTCATTAAACAATATTAAAGGAATAACTTCTTGATTTCCATTATTATCTCAATGGTTTATAGAAGTTTTCCCAGGTTCTTACTTTTGCTTGAAAACTCTAATTTATCATTTACAAAAAATAATTATTTGTTAAGTGATTTGACAAAGTATCTTCCAAATACTCTAAATAACCACATGAAAAAATAATATTCTGTGGGGAAAAAAAATTCCCAAAACAATTTTTAAAAATCACAATGGCTGGTTCAGCTTGCAAGTCAAACAACCACACAAGTGTTTTTACCTTAAATAGATGCTTCTTGTAGAATCATTTGAAAGCATTTTTACCACTGAGTTTACCCAGTAGTGCTCTATAATGACTTTTTGACTTCAGGATTCCAGTTCCATCTGTTGTCTATAACTTTAATGCACCAGAATTTCCCTGCCATCTGAATATATCACGAGTATTTAGGATAACCAAACTTCATCTTTCTTTCTTTCTTTCTTTCTTTCTTTCTTTCTTTCTTTCTTTCTTTCTTTCTTTCTGGCACTGGTGATTGAACCCAGGGTGCTTTGTTACTGAGCTACATCCTCAGCCCTTTTTTCTTTTTTATTTTGAGGTAAGGTCTCACCAAGTTGCTGAGGTTGACCTTCAATTCAAATCCTCCTGCCTTTACCTCTTGAGTTGCTAGATTACAGGCATGTGCCACCCCACCTGGCTAAAACTTCATTTCTTTATCAGCCAATTTATTATTTCCAACATTTCTAAGTTCACTGCAAATAAAATATATAATTCCTCTTGAAATCATAGTAGCACAAGGCTTATAAACTTTTCAGTTGAAATAGGCCTTTATTTTTTAAGTCTACACATAGGTTATAAGGGAGGAGTAAATCAAGAAAATTACATGTATCAAATTATGGGAAGAAGGTGGCTTTGTAAAAGAAGGGTGAACATTTTAGGTGGATAGATTTTCACAAATTACTTTGTCTTGGAAAAAGATATACATTAGGTAGGAAAATAATCATTATAATCAATTTATGGTGGAAAACTAGGCAAAGATATATATGCCACTACCCAAGATTGCACATGTTGTGTTTTGGGGTTGAGAACGGAACCCAAGTCTCCTAAAGTCCAGTCCAGTCCAGAAGCTATTATAATCTTGCTGTTTTATTCCTTCTGTATCTCAATTACTCACGATAAATGGAACCATTATGAGGAGAAGCACATATCTTTAAGGAAATACATGAGCCTTTTGTAACATCTGATGAAAAACCTAATAGCTGGATTCTGTGTTCCGTGTTACATTGCCCCAGACCTTTACCTTCATACTCATTGAATGATCTTTTTTAAAAAATGTAAAGTAAATCCCTAAAATCTTATCTTTTCTCACAAGAGGGCATTTCATTTTGTTTATTGCGGAACTATTGTAAAAGTCACTGCTCTATATATTTTTAATGTAAGAATCTACTTTGATAGGAGAGCAAGATTTTGATTAATTGCCAAACAATTTTAAATGTACTTATAATTATAGACCTTCTTTTTTTCTGCTGCAGAATGATAAAATCAGTTTATTTCCTATTAAAGTAGATGAGATTACTCAATTTTCACAAATTGAAAATTACTAGAGTGAAGAAGATTCCTTTTTTAATTTGTTCTAATTAGTTATATTTGACAGTATAATGCATTTTTGACATATTATACACAGCTTCTCATTCCTCTGGCTTTACACGGTGCAACATCACTCCAGTAGTGTAATCATATATGTATATAGGGTAATAATGTCTGTCTCATTCTACCATTTCCCATTCCCACAGCCCCATCCCTCCCTCCCCACTACACAAACTGAAGTTCCTTCAAGTTTTTCTTAATTACATGTGCACCATTAGATTTAAATGTACCTCAGGTTATTAACGAATGGAAAATTTTAGAGTATAAACAAAGATTTCATTTATAATGTTGCTGTTTTCACCCAGTAATTAAGTTCTTTCTTTGTTTTCAGTTAATTGATAAATACCAGTTGAAAATAAAAGTACAAGATATGGATGGTCAATATTTTGGCTTGCACACAACTGCAACTTGTATCATTAATATTGGAGATGTGAATGACAACTTGCCAACATTTACCCGTACTTCTGTAAGTATACGGTATTTATATAAGAAAAATATGTAACAGTGTTGTTAAATATGCACATCTCCATCTGTGCCTCATGATTTCAAATGAAGTACCACAATGACATACTAGTTTGGTGTTGTCAACATAGTTCTTTAGAAATTGGAAGAACAGGATGTGAAGGTGATCTGGCTATGACGTCTGTCACCCACTGATTGACTGATCTGACTGCCTAGGCAGATGTCACCTTCCTCCCTGACCATGTGCATCCCTCCTGAAGTTGCTGTGCACTTAGTTGAAGGGGATGACCTTTCCTGATAGAGGAGATAGAGGAGGACCAGTCTTGGGTCAAGGGTATAGGAGTTGCTGTGCTCCTTGGTAGAACCTCCAAAAACACTCTCAAGAAATTGGAAGAACATAGCTTTCTTCATATGGTGGTTTATTTTTCTGAGGGCTAACTAATGAAATCTTTTGTTTCTTTTTATTATTTTTAGTATGAGGCATCAGTGGAAGAAAATACAATTGATGTGGAAATCTTACGTGTTACCGTTGAGGATAAGGATTTAATTAATACTCCTAATTGGAGAGCTAATTATACCATTTTAAAGGGCAATGAAAATGGAAATTTTAAAATTGCAACGGATCCCAGAACCAATGAAGGAGTTCTGTGTGTAGTTAAGGTAAGAATAAATTAGTAAATCATTTGTTTGTAATTTATAATATTATGGAATAGCATATTGGGGTTTAATAGGAACAAAGAAATTATGGTAGATACAGGAATAACATACATACAGAGGTAAATGTAAATGCCTATACACACACACACACACACACACACATATACATATATATATTCAGTTGTGGTGATCTTTATAAAGTCATGGTTTAAAAAAACCATTTATATGTATTCAATTAATTTGATATAGTATCCGCCTTATAACCAATATCTCTCAACAATTCAAAAGCTAGCATAGCTTTGAGGCTAATTGAACAGAGTCAAGCTCTTCTAGACTGCTCTTTCTTGTAGCTGGGTTAAGAAATCACCACTTAGTAAACTTTCCAAATGAGTCACTCCTGGTCAGACCCATAGAGAAGCTGTCTGTAGGTTTGTTCATATATATCCAGCATACAATATATTCGTAACTTCCAGTTTCAGTATGGGAATCCTAAACCATTCAAAGATGTACATCTTCTAAGACTTCTTTCTAATATCATTTTTTATATCTGAGGAGCACTCAGTGCTAATTCAGGAGCCAGAGATAGCACATAAAGCAATCTGAGCTGTTTTGACCTTGGGCAAAGTCATACACATTTCTGCTGTATTTTTAATAACTAGTACATGATTCTCTTGTGGATCTATAGAACTTTCTGTTTGTACTTATTCTCAATTAGTTTTATGGACCAAAAAGGGCAATTTTTTCCTTGCAATGATGAAAATTAGCTGTACTTTGTGAGTTAATTTCTATTTTTCAAAACAGCAAAGAAAAATCTTTTTGAATCCTGTCTCTGTCTTACCCACCCCTTGCCCTAATCCTAAGAAAATGTATTTTTGTGAAGTCTAAAACCTGAAAAAAAATCTTTTATTCATTTTCATTACAAGTACAAATCAGGTCAAATACAATAAAATCTTCTATCAAGCTTGGTACTTCCAGTTTTTAAGAAAGGGGGTGGAGGGCAGGAAGATAGAAAAAGAAAGGGTCATGTTCTTAAACTTTCTATATCTGGTATCTCCCCTCCTAAATATATTTTACAAAGCTTGGCTCAGTTTCTCTACACAAATCAAGTCCAAGTAATTTTTATTCATCTCAACAGTGTAAGACAAGCTGTCCTCAAAAAGGGAATGGTATAGTAAATGACCATTGATTATGATTATGAAACCACTAAAGGAGGATTCTTATTTGTTAACATTGATTTTAGTAAATTCTTCCTGGAATCATTACCAAGACCTGTTATACTGCCTGTGCTAAATTTGTAGTTGAGGAAGAGTTTTTTGTTTAGTTTGTGTCAATTGCACTCAAATCTGAATGAGTTGAAGAATTCCCCTCTCTTTACCACCACCATGATTTTAGATATATGTTTCATATTCTCATGACTGTATCCAACATAGTACTTACGTATTTCCAAATTTAACAAGTTATTGTTACTTGTCAACATTGCCAACTCTTAAATATCTTGATCTGATTTCCGACACATTTAAATTGCCAGCCACTGAATTATGAAGAAACACAAAAGGTGACCCTACAAATTGGAGTAGTTAATGAAGCTCCATATTCTAGAGAGACTAGCTCAAGATCCGCCATGAGTACAGCAACAGTTACTGTTAATGTGAAAAATCAGGATGAGGGCCCTGAGTGCAACCCTCCAGTCCAGACTGTTCGAATCAAAGAAAATGCACCAGCAGGGACAAGAAGCAGTGGATACAAAGCATATGACTCAGATACAAAAAGTAGCACTGGAATAAGGTATTTATCATTCTATTGTTCACTCCAAATTTATTGTGTTTTAAAGATTTATAATTTACTTATTGTCATTTCACTTATAATACTTTTTATGACTTTAATTCATTGTTGTTAAACAGGTATAGGAAAATAAGTGATCCAAAAGGGTGGGTCACCATTAATGAAGATTCAGGAATAATCACAGTTTTCCGAAGTCTTGACAGAGAGGCAGAGGCCATCCCAAGTGGTGTATATAATGTTACCGTCCTTGCGTCAGATCAAAGTAAGAAATGTGTTTTTAAGCCTGCTACATACATCTTTGGCAATATACTTCCATTTTAAAAAGTGACTCTAGACACTTTTAATTTTTTCCCAAAATGACATATAAAGTAATTGAGAGATTTGCTATAATTTATTAACTCATGTCTGCTTTCTAATAGCATTTCCAGGGTTAAATGTAATTATAAAGCAATTTAGTCACAGACATACTTGAAACTGTAACATATTAATATTAAATAATTAGGAAAAATTGAGAAAATGACTTTGGTAAAACTAGCTTCAATTTATCTACTCATTTCTCTTAAAATCTTCATTTTATTGGGAAAATTTATTACAGGGAGAACATACTTATTGCCACATAGCACACTTCTGGAAAGCAATTATAACTTTTACAGGAATTTAACAGTATACTGAGGGGCTAGAATTGTGATTAAACACATTATACAAAGATAAATCATCCTCACAGTAAATGATATAGTTATAAAATTAGACAAAACTATAATAAATACTATAATACTATAATAAATACGTTATTATGCTCTCACTTGCAAAATTAGGATTCAGCCATGATTTTGGAAGACGATTTAGGTATTCCAATTCTCTCTGAATGAATTCTGGAATATACTCAGTGACTAGTCTCCTTAAATATTGTTCTTCTGCTATTCTTTTCTTTTTTTTCTAGAATTCCCATTAGATGAATGTTGCTATTTTATTTCTACTGGAATTTGAGTTGTAATTTCCTTTTTAAATAATTAATGCATTTTCTTTAAATCTTGGAAGATTCTAACCATACCTGCTTCAAAGAAGTCTTACATAGAATTAATCTAACAGTGATTTTGTTGGATTTTAACATTGCTCCTTTGGGAATTTTAATTGGCAGGCTTATGTTAAGTGGGAAGTATTTGGTTTGCTTTCTGCTTCTATTTTTTTTTCCTCTTCTACTGTACCCCATCTCAGCTAGCAGTCTTGTAGTTGCTTGTACCTGCTTTTTTTCTGGCCCATGGTTCAGGACCAGTTTTGAATCTGGAGTCCCAAGTATTCCTGGCCCACAATGGCACTGGAACTACTGCAGGTCCAGTCGCTGGTTATGACTGCCTGGTCCTCTGGCTTTCCTATGTTGATAGCTCCCTATGAGACAGAGCCTCAGGTTTTTTTCTTCCTCTTCTTCGTCTCAGTGTTCAAGGCATCTTTAATAATTAAAAGGAATAACTGATTGAGAGACAGGACTCCTGACCCATGCTCTTCAACTTCATACCTAATAACGTCATTTACTAATTTGTGTCCCAGATTTATTTCTGCTTTGTCTTTGAATCTTCCAGATTTGTCAGTGTAGTGCCTTGTACAGAGTACTTACTCAGTAAGTTTTTGCCAAATATATAGATTAATTACTTAAACTACACCCATGGTGATTATTTCAGTTTGCAAGTGATTTTCCACTCTTAGAACATTTTCATATACTATTTTTGTTTTATTCTCCAAAATATTTATCTTCTATCATTAACTTTTCTTGGAAAACCTTAAGCGCTTCCTGTAAAAATGGATATTGAAATCTATACTCTCTAGTATGGTTTTCAAAGATCCCCAGCCCTTTTCTCCACTCTCAATTTCCTGCTCCCTGCTCTCTGCTTCTTCCTTTATTTTCTCCAGATCAGGGGTGTGTACAACATGCTTTCCGACCTCCTTGAATTTTCCCATGCTTTCAAACATTCCAGAAGTACTATTGTTCATACTCTTTTCCTTTCTCCTCTTAAAAACCAATCAAAACTCACTTCTATAAAGATTTCTATCTTTATTGTAGTGAATTCTTGAATGGGTGAACATACCTAATATAGTAGTTATTCTCTGCAATCCACTTGAATATAGTATTCTTATTCTTATTTTTCCTTTTTTTTTTTTTTTTTTTTTTTTTAGTACTGGGCATTGAACTTAAGGGAGCTCAACCACTGAGCCAGATCCCTAGCCCATTTTATATTTTTAGTTAGAGACAGTGTCTTGCTGAGTTGCTTAGGGCTTAAGCTAAATTGCTGAGGCTTGCTTTGAACTTGTGATCCTCCTGCCTCAGCCTCCCAAGCTGCTGGGATTAAAGGCCTCCTGTGATACCACACCTGGCCATAATATTCTTTTAACGTTCCCTGAGGACTTAGCTTGTGGCTGTGCTAGTGACAGTAACTTATAGGTACTCAACAAGTATTTAAAATTTTTCAGTGTTATTATTTTTTGGCAAAAACTTCAAACATTAAAAATGTATTTTTACTTTGATTTTCCTAGATGGGAGAACTTGTACAGGGACACTGGGGATTATACTTGAAGATGTGAATGATAATGGCCCGTACATACCTAAGCAGACAGTAGTAATCTGCAAACCTACTATGTCCTCAGCGGAGATTGTTGCTGTTGATCCTGATGAACCCATAAATGGCCCACCATTTGATTTTAGTTTTAGGAGTTCTGATTCAGAAGTACGGAAAATGTGGAGACTGATGAAAATTAATGGTATGTGTTTCGAAACGTTGCCCTTTTCTTTTCAATGTCATCTAGATGTTTCTTGATGAAACAGAATAACGCAGTTCTCATTTTGGGTGGGCTCTAGGCCTCTCTAGTGTCTGCCTGTAATTCTATGCCAGAGTTTCTTTAGGCAAAGTTTCATGAGTTTGCATTTCCCACTCTAAGAACCCATCCACATAGATTCTTTACATTATAAGGGAATAATAATGTAAGTAATTCCCTTACATTATAAGGGAATCCCTCTCTTTTGCATATTCGTCCTCTAGGAAGTGGAGTCTGAGGCAGTCACTCAAGCAGAATATGTATTAAGAAATTTGCTTGAAATCAGCTGTGAAAGGAAGGACTGGGAAAAGGAGAAATGGAGGTACAGCGCAGACCAGTAACAGCTGAGCTGATCCTATGGGGAGTCTGAGCTCAGGTCCTTTCACAGTGGTTCCATGTTGATTCCCCATTCTCTGTCATTGCTCCATTGGTGGACGAGGCAGCCCAAAGGGATATGAATTTGAGTAAAAGGGATACTCACAGAAGACACTGATGGCAGTCCTGAATTTCATAGGGATCTGGTGCCCAGACAGTGTCCCCCATGCCATCACTCCTGTCTACCCCTGTGTTGACTCCTGACCATTTTGTGTCTGTTGTTTTTCTTGGGATCCTTCCTCAACTTGGTTCCCAGTCTTTACTTTAGACTTCAGCCCATAATGGTCTTTGGTGACAAGAATGGTGAAAGTGAAGGTGACCTTTCCATTTTCACCTTCCCGTCATTCTCTACATCCGCAATTCCCCATCTCCTGCTTACCTGCCTGTGGACCATGATGTTGGTACTGCTGGTTATCAGGGACGAGTCCTGCTCCCTCACTTGTTGAAGTATAATATTAGAGAAACATGCTAAGGCAAACATATAAAAGAGGGTTTATTTAAAAAGGGGTAACATAGATTTCTTCTGGGAGGGAGAACAGGGCCATAGCTCGTATTCTGGTATCTGCAGAAGTGAGAGAGTTTGGCCTTTTTATATGTCCTAGGCTTCCTTTGTTCTCCTGCTCCCTTCCCCTTATTTCTCTCCTTCCTGCATAGGTGACTAGGTGACTAGGTGAGAAGCAGATGGGCTGGAGGGGCCAAGGTGAAGTGATCTGGGCAGGAAGGGGACTAATTTACAACTCCCTGTAGGAGGGATGATCCCTGGGAGAGGTTACCTTAGCAACAGGTTGGGGCAGGGTCAGGTTATCTTGATAAGGGTGGAGGAAGAGCTCTGAAGGAATTAACAGTTCAATCCCTCCATTCTCTGGATCTGACCCTTGCCTATCTATCTGCCTGTCTAATGCTGGCTGCAATGTCATGCTCTGCTAGTTTTTATGACTCAAGAACCTCTGTAAATTCAGTGAAGTTTGCTTTAAAATATCCTTGACCATCGCTAAATCCCACCTTTTCAGTGACTGACTCTCACATTCCTATTAGGACAAATTAGAAAAGAAAGGTGAGAAAATGTAAAGTGGAATGGGATAGGGAAAGGAAAAGAAGGACCTGTAAAAGTAAGTAAGCTACTGACCGTGTCTTGAAGTCTGTCTTGTGAACTTACAAGATTGCTTTAAAACAATATTCCATTTTGTGTGTATTCTTTCTTAAGAAGAGTTAACCTTATTCTTAGATTTTTGACTTTTCTATTCATTTGGTGTCATAACATCATTGTTTTAAATAATGTTGATAGGAAATGATAATTTTAAAAATATATATCCCTACTTGCTGGGTGCAGTGTCGCATACCAGTGATTGTAACAATTCAGGAGGCTGAGGCAGAAAGATCACAAGTTCAAAACCAGCCTCAGCAACTTAGTGAGAACTTCAGCAACTTAGCAGATCATCTCAAAGTAAAAAATAAAAAGGGCTGGATGTAGCTCAGTGGTAAAGCACCCCTGGGTTTAACCCACAGTACCCTGCTCCCAAAATATATTCATATACACACACATACACATATACATACTTTGGCAGAAGTATGTCCAAAACTTTGTGGGTTTTGTTTTGTTTTGTAGTTCTGAGTATTGAACTCAATGCTTTGCACATCCTGGGCAAGTTTTATACCCCTGAGCTACACTCTAAGCCCTCAAATTATATTATTTTAAAGAGTTACTGGTCTGTGAGTTCATCCCAAACCAGGGAAACAACAAGTTAAGAAACACCAAGAAAAGACTTTGAAGTCATATGGTCAAATGCTGGCCTCACCATTTATTAGTTCTGTAAATCTGAACATACTGTTTATTTTGTTTGAGTATCAATTTACTCATGTGTAAAGTGGGATTATTTCAGAAAGTAAATGAGATCATGAATGAAATAGACCATAGCACACTGTGAATCATTAGTTTTGGTTTTGTTTGTCTTATTATTTTTATTATTCCTTGTATAATAAACTTGACAAGTTAACCATGGTTTATCTTAAAATATTAATAATTTTCTCACCTAAACATCCAATTTACATTTAGAGCCTCAAACACCGCACACAAAAAAAATCAGAATGTCCAATTGGGCATTTAAGTGAGCAAGGGATTGTCCTTTGGCATGTGACAACCATATTTAGTATCATGTCTTTCGTTCTGAATCCAAAACTGGGCTTGTGGTCTAGACCTCTTCCTACCTTTGATCTAACACAAAAAAAAAAAAAAGGGTCAAAACAAAAATCTGTGCAGGTGGACCCAGTGTCCTTTAGGAGATGCAGTTCTAGCAGTTTGACCTATGACCTACTAATATGTTCAAAGTCAGGTGTGTTCTAAGTTGTTAGGATCTGTCTCTGATAATAAATCACAAGTGTGTGTGTTTACTCGGCACAGTATATGAGAAAAAATAAAGGGAGATACCCAGAATTTCAGATCATTCCTTTCTGATAAATCTCATATGAAAGGAAATATGCACTGACTGGTTTAATTGAATATTTTACAAATATGATAAAAACCAACCTCTTATGCCCCTTAGTTATGATAAAAGGATTTGTTTATGAACAGATAAAATATATTATTTCAAGACCAACTTTTATGTGCAATATGCAATGGCTGTAGGTTAGAACTATTCAGACCATTCACATTTACAGTCTGCTAGCAGTTGTGCTATCCCATTGAATATCCATTTGTAGGGAAATATGATAACTGTCTGATAAATAGTTATTTTTGCCCAGGACAAATCAGTGATGTTCTATAATGTTTGGTTTTATTTCTTCCTCAGATACAGCGGCAAGTCTTTCTTATCAGAATGATCCTCCATTTGGGTCCTATGTAGTACCAATTCAGGTTACAGATAGACTTGGCTTCTCTGCAGTCACTTCACTGAATGTTGTTATATGTAACTGCATTACCGAAAATGACTGCACCTTTCGCACAAGTGGAAGGACTGGCAACGGAGAAGTAAAACTTGGAACGTGGGCCATCCTGGCAATATTGTTGGGCATAGCATTGCTATTTTGTAAGTCCTTTCTTGAATTTCAATAACAGTCTCTAAGGTAACTTCCAAGACACATTCTTATAACCGGCACTCTCACCTATAGCTGATTGTTTGCATATAGCTTAGTTTCTATTTAACACATAAATATTTGTAGTGAATATTTTAAGTGCACTTATGTGGAGCTCTGGAGTCTCCTCAATTAGCATAGACATAACTTTCAGTGTAGACATAACAGCATGTGGCATGCACTTGCCACATGTATTTAGAGCAAACTTTTGTATACTGCTTTGACATAAGCAGTCTCACTTATATGCTCTAGAAAGTTATGATTTATTTTGCGTATGAATCATTGTAAATTCATACTTTCACATTATCTTATGATAGACTTAAGTAGAGTTCTTTCTTTCTTTCTCCAGGTATACTATTTACATTAGTCTGTGGGACTTCTGTGATAAACAAACAACCAAAAGAACTGCCTGATGATTTAGCCCAGCAGAACCTCATTGTGTCGAACACGGAAGCTCCTGGAGATGACAAAGTGGTAAGTCATTTGTCTTAAATAAATACAAAGGATGAATTAGTGTATAATGTAGATTCTTTCTAGAAAGGTCTTTTCTGAGCAAAGTTCTTTTGAGATCAGGTAATTTACCATAAAATGTCATCTCCCTCATGGAACAGATAAAAATGACTGATTCCTCTGGGGACACATGGTATTTTGATTTGGCCACATAGTGCTAGTTTATAGTAAAAATCCTTTAGCATGTCATTAGTACTTTCTACTTCAGATGTTTCATGGTTTCAGTGTTAGGCCTAGTTTTCTGCATCTATTTAAATTACTGCTTCTGCTGTAAACATGTTGCATTTAATTAGTCACAGATCGCCAGGGTAATTGTTTTAAATTTTTTTCTGGCAACAGCAATAAAATTGCTACAAGCTTTGATCATCGTGGGAAGAAGTTTAATGGATTTTTTTTCTGGCTGTAATGTGGGTTAGAGAAGAGCCTGAGGTTGAATGTCCAAAAGAACAGTGGTAGCAAGTGACAAACATTTCTCTGACTTTTTTCTAGCCCAATATGTGGAAGAGGAGCAAGTAAATTCCTTACATAAAGCATAATTAATGATCAGAGCAGAAAAAATTTGGAAAATAAAAGCCTGAGGTATTTAAGGAGGGATTGAAAGAAATAAAACTTAAATTACATTAGTGGCCAGAGCTTTGATGTTCTTGGTATCTTCCCTGCTTGGTTTATTATTTGCATTTATGTGGATTGCAAGAATACATTATTACAGCTAAGATTCTCACAGCAACATTATTCTTTTTATTCAGTTGAAGTGAACGGAATTGCTGAACAAAAAGGCTGATTATTATTTCTGTTTCCCCCTTGTCAGATAAAAGGGGATGGATTTACCTATGAAAGTAACATTTCATAATTTAACTATGAAAGCAAATGTATATGAGACTGTAGTAATGCTTTGGGGTGTGAGATGCAGGAAGGAGGTAACAACTGAAGTTGTGCAATATAAGAAGCTTTTAAAGAAGGAATTATACATCAAGCTTTCCAATTTGTCCAAGTGCCACTGACAGCTGCAACTTGTTTCTTATGATAAGACCCTAAATTTAATATTGGGATTGTAATAGTCAGATGCTCGGGATTGACAAAACAGGCTTAGTTTCTGTCCCCAGAGAGCTTACTACTTTCTAGGACACAAAACAAATCAAGGCAAATTTCAGTAATGATGTTGATTTTTCTTTGTCTTTTGTGTGTGTGTGTGTGTGTGTGTGTGTTGTTATTATTATTCTTTTCTGTAATTTCCCCAATGCAAATTGTTTTCATTTCAGTATTCCACAAATGGCTTCACAACCCAAGCTGTGGGTGCTTCTGGTCAGGGAATTTGTGGCACCGTGGGATCCGGAGTCAAAAATGGAGGGCAGGAGACCATCGAAATGGTGAAAGGACACCAGACCCTGGACTCCTGCCGGGGGGTTGGGCATCATCACACGCTGGATTCCTGCAGGGGAGGACACGTGGAGGTGGACAACTGCAGATACACTTACTCCGAGTGGCACAGTTTCACTCAGCCCCGACTTGGAGATGTGAGTTTCCCTAGGTGTTCTACAAATCTATTTTAATTTCCCTTAAACTTTATAATGATAAAGATTTTATGTTTATTTCTATCTCTGTTTTTATTTAATTATGAATCTGCTCATTGGAAGTAGTTTCTTCTTAATTCTGATTTAGTTATGTTCCGATTTGAGTAGTTATTTACTTTTCCTCAGATGTTGTTTGGGTTTTATTATTCTTCATGAAATCAGATGTGATGATATTTAAATTATTTTCTCAAGACTTTGTGCTAACATTTCACATCTGACAACTCATGTCTTAGAATCCAGAAGTGTAGTACAAGACAATACCCATGTGCTTCATCACTGAGCCTGTCTGTGGATATCTGAGCTCATATCCATGTGGGTTCAGTTTAATACATGCATTTTCACTTTTCGCCATCATATTTGAAAGGGGAAATGTCTGATTACCTAAAATGAACACTAGTTACTTGCTGCCTTGTGTGTGACAAATAGAAACTTGCTATATACTGAATTGATAGTGTGATTCTTGATCATACGGACCAATCATGTGCATTTTTTATATGTAGGAATCCATTAGAGGACACACTCTGATTAAAAATTAAACAATGAAAGGTAAATCAAAGCAATTATTTTTATGTTAGTACGTTTTGGTGTTTAAAATAATAATAATAAAATGTGTTGTGTTTTTCCCCTTGACAGAAAGTGCATCAGTGTAATCAGGATGACAGTCACAAGCACGCTCAAGACTATGTCCTTACGTATAACTATGAAGGAAAAGGATCGTCAGCTGGTTCTGTGGGCTGTTGCAGTGAACGACAAGACGAAGATGGGCTTGAATTTTTGGATCATTTGGAGCCCAAATTTAGGACACTAGCAGAAGCATGCATAAAGAGATGAACATGGTCTCATAAGTCAACCAAAGCCAGTGGCTTATCATCTTTTAATTTGTGTTCCTCTTCCTTTTAGTTACAAACGAGGATTTTTCAAAACAGAAGATGTTATGTTTGGAACTTTTCTCTGTTTATTTTGCACAATCTCTTTGGCCAAATGCATATTTACAGGAAACCAAATAAGTACACAATTGTTTGGACTTCTGTGTAGTTTTTAATTACATGCTCCCAAGTACATTTATTTACAAACAGGAAACTTGCATGATTGTTTACATTTGGGTATAATGACAACAGCCAATTCATAATGCAATAAAATTTAATTAATTCAAATCTGTATTTAAAGACCACTTGAAAAATAACCTAATAGAAGAATGTAGAGAATATTATCTCTGGTTAATTAATTACTTAGTTATTTGTGTGGTGCTTGGAAACTGTTGTTTTTCTAAACATTCTAAAGTGTATACACTTTATCTTGCTTTATTTTGTAGCATGACCTTTCTTCGTAATGGGCAGGGAGTTTTCTAACTAGATATTGATTGTTATTACAATTCCATTTTGGTGGAGCTCACTTTTAGATTTTATTCCATGTAGAATCTTATACTGAGTCTATAATTTCCCTGTTACCAACTCTGTTAGTGAAATTTGTTTCAAAAGTGCTTTCAGAATGTTTTTGCTCTTGCAGTTTTTTTGTCTTTGAAATGCCCAGTGGTATGTCTGTCTGTCTGTCTCTCTCTCTCTCTCTCTCTCCTATTTGTCTTCTATTTTTTTCAAAAACTTCTACTTAGGTTAGAGAATCCAGATATTTTTCAAAGTTGTCTCTCTTTTTCCTTTTGTATAAAGTGAATTCTTTTTGTTTTATGTAAGCATATGTATTCTTTTTTTTCTGAAAATCAATGTGTTAACTTTATTGTTTTGAATATCTCGGTGATTGCTTCATTACCTCCTCAACAAAGAATTTTGCCATTGAAACTGTAGAACTATGTTATGATGTTTTAGATGCAACATTCTATGTTAACAAAAGGACTGGTGTAATTAGATTGGGATGAGGATATTTAGTGTGCAGTAGCACAGTTATAGTTCATATCTTTAAAGCAAGGATACAGTTTATAAATGCCAAATAGTGTTGATTGTTTGAAATAAGCTTCAAAATACAGGGATCTTGAAAGTTCTCTAGGATGACAATTTTGCAGTTTTTTGTTTTGTTTTGTTTTGTTTTTAAGATAAGATGGTTAGTCCTATCTGTTTGTAAAGGTTTTTTTTTTTTTTTTTTTTAAATATTACACAGTTACAGTTTTTAGCAAATATACAAATGAGCCAGACAACTTAAATTTTAAAACAATAAGACAAAATTAAACTTAATAGCCAAGCAAATTTCAGATTTATGGCTTACTTCATTGAATTCTTTATGTGTGCAAATATATGGACATTCTAAATATATTTCTAATATTAATATTGTTAATAATGTGCCTGCCTTGAATGTACAAGGTTGGCTTATAACAATTATTTTTCAAAATTAGCATTGGATAGTTATTCAGTAACCATCTATCTTTTCAAAAGTTTCATTACTACTCAGTCAAAAATACAATTTCCCAGAATTATTTTTAATAAATTATGTTTAAAAATCTTGTGTATTACTAGTTATGCAATTTTTAAAAATGAGTGTGAATTTTTTGGGTCTGATATGAATTTAAAGGATCATGCTTTTCTGATATAGAGAAATTGAGTCCCTTTTATAGACTCCTGTTATACATTTTTAGAACTTCAAGATTGATTCAGAGAGATCTTTGGAGCACTGTTCTATTTGTCTCAACACATTTATGTTCATGCCATTATAAGAACTGTGAAGCTGGGGTCCTGATTAAATTGCGTACTTTTTTCTTGTGTGTATTTCTATCATTTTAAAGTGGGGAATATACTAGAACTCCTTTCCTATGATGGTTGTAAGACACTTGAATAAAAAATGGTTTTTAAGCATGAAAGTCATATAGAGTGGTCCACCTAAAAAGGCACATGATAAATGATTTTAAATAAGTCAAATGTACAACCAATTCATGTTAACAAAAAAAAAAAATCAATTAAAATAGGATAGTGGGGAGATCTTTTTTTTAAAAAATCTTACAACATGTCAATCAAGAATATGTCTCTTCATAATGATCGCTTGATGACTGGGTCTTAGATTGGGTCTCAGCTGTTCAGAACATATATTGCAAAGATTGCTGAGACGCATCCATGTAAGATGACCTAGTTTGTGATACTATGAAATTACAAAGTCGAACTTGGATGGAAATCAAAACCTCTTCTTAAACTGGGTGCTAATTCTGGAGCCCTATAAAAAAAATTACACATTTAAGATTCCTTAGCTGCTTTTCTAGCTGTCTTGCTAAACATTAGCAATCACTTGTTGAAAGTCTGTGTCTTTCTGGTGGTTGCCATAATAACCCTAAGGGCAACGACTCCAGGGTAAGATTCCCTGATACAAGTCTCTGAGACACACTCTTGATAGAATTTGAGAAGTCATTTAAACCTTCTTTGCCTAGTTTCCTCACTTGTATTGAGCTGGGTGGAGAAGACTACTTGAATGGATTCCTGTCAGTATTAAAAGAGTTAATTCATAGGAATTGGTGCAGAGTTGCTGTCAATGTGTCTTTAGTACCCGCTCTGCTTTACAGCTGTTTGCTTGCCTTGTCACTTGGCTTCACCTTTCCCAGAAGCCCAACCAGCATTTTACCTGTGATGGCCTTTGGCAACTTCATGGTTCATAATAGCTTCTAGGTCTCTCATTCTTGGTATTCAGAAAGCTACATCTTATTCATAAATCAGGAGTCAGTGTGATGCAATTTTTGATCAGCCATATTTTGCCTCAAGGAGGCCAAATCTTAGGATTCTCCAAAGTAATAGGTGGTGCTTCTTTACAGGAGGAAAGCATTATTAGTTCAATACAGTTCTATTTGGTTTCTCCCTATAATTATTTCCTGCTTTTTTTTTTTTTTGAAAAAAAAAAAATCCTTATCTTAAGATAAGGTGGTTACTTACTGTTTTGTTTTATCTTGGATCCTGATTCCCTCATGCAAAATCTGACTTTGACTAGGCTTCCTCCTTAGTCTTCATCTCTATCCCTTTTCCTGGGAAACTGGTGGAAATCTTGACAACTTATTTTGCTCTGCTCAACACTGTTAGTAACATCCTGAGTCTAAAAATACTTTTTCTTCTATGTGTTTAGATCCTGCTTCAGTAAAAGAAGTCCTAAGAAGTTACATGATACATGATATCTATGAAGACTTACAGCTCTAATTCAGCTCTTCTGTGAGGTTCTTGTTAGCCCTCTAGGATTTCAAGCTCATTAAGTAAAAAACAAATACGTTATGCTTCACACCAGATCAGGTTCTTCTGAGTTTCCCATCTGAATCATGTGCTCCTAATTACTTAGACTTGAATCTTTGATCTCTATCTCTTCTTTGCATAACTCATCCTATTTGTTGTCCAAAACTGCAACAATGTTTTTGCGAATTTTCAACACAATTTCATTCCTTAAAAAATTCATTTCTATGACAGTCACTTAATGCCTTCCCAGTGCAGTCATGCATGCTCTTCCTAATATGCAATATAAAGCCTGTGCTTCTATGACACAAGATGAATCAGCTTCTCTCTCCACCCGCATACTCTAATGCAGGTCTCGACATGGTGGATTGAGCAAGGAGTAGACCAATGCCTGTAAAACATGTTATATGATGCTTGGCACATAGTTAGTATTCGACACATGTGAAAAAAATTCCAGATGATGCCAAACAAACTGTAGTGTGTGAACTTGTGCCCCACTCTTCCCAAGTCAGGCGTTCCTACTGATGACCTGTATCCTATCTCACTTATTCCCCACTCCTCTCTTCATTATGCTCCCCCAGAACCCCATGCAAACTCTCCACATGTCTCAGCTCCACTGGTGTTTGTGCCTCCAATTTCTTCCCTCTTTTCTTCATACAACTGCCCCCAAAGAACAGACATGATCATGGCGTTCTACTGCCTACAGGATACTTATGGCTTTGTAGGATAAACTGGAAACAAAATCACATTCAAACCCCCATCTCCTTATACCCCATACACAGCTACCTGTGGTACAACTGGTTACAGGCACATTCGCACAGTTCCTGGTGATAGGGGGTAGGTGGTAGTCCAGGTAGCTTAACTGGACCACAATACGTGGTTGGCACCTCCATACATACTCTCCATCTTGCTCATGTTGGATCCTACATCTGCAGTGTTCTGGCTCACTCATTGTTTATTTCTTCCTTTGAAAAAATATGACTTTTTGAAGATCTAGTTCAAAGACATCTCCTGTAAAAAGAATTTGTATGTCTAGAGAAGATTCATTGATATAGTTTTCACCTACAAGCTTATATGTATAAGTGTGTGTGCGTGTCTTTCCTCATATAGGAAGCTCACTGAGGTTGAAAAAAAATAAAGATGCATATCCTTACAATGCTATCTGGCAATATTTTTTTTCCCACCAATATTTTTTCAAGTATTGGAGATTGAACCTTAGGGTGTTTTACCACTGAGCCAGGTATCCCCAGTCCTTTTTATTTTTTATTTTGAAACAGGGTCTTGCTAAATTGCTGAAGTTCTCCCTAAGTTGCTGAGCCTGGCTGTGAACTTGAAAGTCTACTTCCTCAGCCTCCCTAGGGGTTCACAGGTGTGCACCATTGCTCCTGGCCTGTCAATACATTTTGATGAAATAAAATTGCATTGACCAATTCTCAATGGAAAAAAAAAAACTATTGAAGATGAAAAACTAGGATTTTTGGTGGTTCCTACCTTATTTCCCTTGGCATTAATGTTCCATTGTAGACATAATGCTTATAAGATTCTGCATTGAATTCTTTCTCTAATGCAGAGATACTGAGTTAAAGATTTGCATTTACAACTTTGTACAAGAAAGCAAAGTTCTGAGGTTCTGGAACACTTTCCCTCTGGTGCATAGTGTGGGTGGCAGACAGCAGAGATACTGCCCCAGCATTGTGGTTTGGGTCAGCTGAAAGAGTCCTACCACCAATAATTGCACAGTCCTGCTTGTAACCAGCTGCACCACAGTAAAATATAACCATCAAGCGCTCTTGTCTGTCTTCTTCACTGTATGCCAGCACATAGAGGAGTGGACACTCCACAGATTTGTTGGATGAATGAGTGAGTGAATGTATTAGATACCGGACCAAGATTAGATCTCAACATTGACTTTTTTTCCTCATTGGCCAATGTGAAAATACTTTTGCAACTATTCCTTCATATTATAATGCTATAGTGATTATTTTATTTATTTATTTTTTAACTAAAGAAGCACTTGTGAGAAAAAACAACTTAAGAATGAAACAGAAACATTCCCAGCATTAGCTGGACAGGACTGTCCCTTATATGGTAAAAGAACAGGAAGATTGGGCCCATATCTTGTATGTCATTTTTTGGAACATTATCAGCTCATAGCACAGCATGGGGGATTTAAGAAATGATTCTTGAGTTTGCCAAAGCTACATTAATTATTATTTTTTAAAATATTTTTTAGTTGTGAAGGAACACAATACATTTTTTAAAATTTATTTTTATGTGATGCTGAGGAGCGAACCCAGTACCTCAACACATGACAGGACAGTGCTCTCTACCACTGAGCTACAACCCCAGCCTCGCCATTAATTATTTTTGCGCTGTCTTCAACTCAAGAATTGTCTTGTGAAACCAGAAAGCAGGGAAGGGGCAAACAGATTTAAGAGGTTCCTCTGAGTTAGACGGGGAGGACACTGTGGCAGGGCATCTCAGAACTCCTGTGTGCACAGAGAGAAAGCCTTTAGTAGGCCCCACCTTCCTGTTCTCTTAACACATGAGGGACAGACCTGTCCAGCTAATGCTGGGAAGCTTTCGGTTTCATACACGGCAGACAGCTATGTGCCTTGTTTCTGCCCTTTAGGGGGGTATCATTTCTATGCATTCTTGTTATTACAATTTAATAATAATAATAATTTCTGTTAATAATTTTCTCTCCACTGGTTTGGGTTTCTGAGATTTGGGGGTCTGAGGTCTCTCCCTGCCTGTCTATGTCTTAGGAGCAACTTAAATTGCTTTTGCTTAAATTTTATTTTAGAGTGCAGTTCACAATTATCTGTATCAGGATCACTTGTGGTGTTTATTAGAATAAAGATTCCATATTGGATCAAAACCAGAGACAACAGACTGGTGGGGGAGGAATGGAATTCTTCACTTTTTAATATTTTCTAGATCATGTTTGCATTCTCCAAAGCATGAGTACCATTGATAAGGATTTAGTCCATTGGTTTATGTGATTATTTGAGGGTTTATGAAGAAAGTGTTTTAAGTTTGCTGTTAGAAGCTTCTTCATATATAAGATATGTCAAGCATAACGTTAGAAATGTAAGAGTTGATACACTCTTACTAATAAAATACCACAACCTCAGTAAATTAAGTATTTCAGAATGTATATTTTCCCTCATGGCTTCTATTTACCATATGGGAGAGAACTGGAGGCATAATCTTGGAACATAACCAGGCCACATAATAAGCATAATAAAAAGGAACTAACTTTACCACATTACTGCTCTTAGTCAATAAGATGCATGCACATTGTGTTGCATATATTCCAAAGTCCAAGTGGGAATATCAAATCTTCAGAGACAATAGGACTAGAAAGGTCAACTCCAGATGAAATTGGTGACTGGCCAGGAGGTGACAGCTGTTCGGTTATGCTATGCCGTCCTGTGGAGGCCATGTAGGATAAGGTGACAAATGATCTCCATTGAATGATTTCTGTATGGTCAGGACTCAGAGAGGGGCCTATGAACAGGGAGGTGCATAGGGGCAGAACCAAGTCTTTTCTGCT